GTCCCCAGCACAGCCTCCCCAGCGCACCCTTGGCTGGCTGTGCCACAGCAGAACGCAGAGACAACGAGCCTGAAAAATGGGACCAAAAAAAAAAGCACACGAGAACTGATGGAAGAGCTGGACTCTGAACTGCAAAAGCAAAAAATGTTCTTGTCCTTACAAAGACATCGTGCTTTGTGCTTCACACATTACAGGTGGAGGTTACTTGCATTTGACATGTTTATAATCATCAGCCATTTGCTTTTCTAAGTGTGTTTTACAGCAGAGCTCATGTTCTTTCACCTGGTTTGTGTGTATTTTGCAGTTAGTGACTTAAATATATTTTTAAGGTAAGCAAAAAGCATTTTAGTTTTTTTTCCTGGTCTTAAGAATTGATCAGTGTAGTGGTGATTTTAACAGCAAAGTATAAAATCAGAGTGACGTGCACCCTTATTTTCTAAAAATTCTAAAAGTCTCATGGTTTGTACTTTAATTCACATTTAGGGTACTGGTAGTTATAACATGTTGTTTTCAAACTCAATTTAACTCTGCGATTTTTTTTTTCCTTCCTTTGCTGTAGATGCTATAAGTTCCAGTAATCCACGTGTCATAGATGATGCCAGAGCGAGGAAGTTATCGAATGATCTCAAGAGATGCACTTACTACGAAACCTGCGCTACTTATGGACTCAACGTGGAGAGAGTCTTCCAAGACGGTAAAGATTACTTTTTTCAGCTGGCACATCACAAAATACTGGAGCTGTTCTGTTTTGGGTTGTTTTTTCCCCAAATAACCACCGATGCCTGATAGCTTGAGTACATGGCCTGTTTTGCAAGGGTTCATTAATGTTCAGTTACAGAAAAAGCTTGGGTTTAGGGGTTGATTTTGTTACACTGTCTGAAGTGGAGGCTTCCTTATGGTGGACATGGCACATGCATGGTGGTGTGTTCTTTAGCAGCACCTTAAGTCTTCAGTATCTTAACCTACTTTATTGAGTCTTTGTTTATTTTTCAGTTTTCTTTGGTGCTTGGTGTATCTTAGCAAAATTTTATTTGTTTCGATTTAGTGCTCGTGGGAATGTTGAGATGCTATTTGTGCAAAGTAGTTGAAAATTGTCTTCCACAGTTGAGAAAGTGAGAATAAATTGAGAAAATTTATAGGAATAGAGGAGTCATGAGAAGTAATGCACAGCATTCGTTGAGTGTGAGAAGTGGACTGTCTTGCGTAGGGCTTTAGAAGTAAAGTTGGCTGCTTACGGGTGATTAAAACAACGTTAGCAGCAATGTTCTACTTTGCCTTGGATATTTGGGATCATTGTGTACCGTCTCAAAAAAAAGGAATAATGAAAGTGCTTCTGACCATCTGTAACTCTTTTGGAACAAGTTAAACCTGGGAAGACTGAACTTGGTCTTTGCGGTATGCGATGGGCTTCGTGCACCCTCTAGTGGAAATTCAGCCCGGTGGCTGGGGCTTGCTGCCTTCTCAGCAGGCTAGGCAGCAATGCATCGCAGCAGTTCTTCTGCGTGTAAAAAACTTCTTAATTATGTTCAGATACTTCTCAGAGCTCATTAGTGTGGTTTTCTTGTTTTGTTGGTTTTTTGTTGGTATTGTTGTTGCCAGCTTTTCATTGCAAAGACCTGCATCATCTGTGGGTATGTGGAGCAGTGTCCCTGTTGGAGGCATCTACAAGGCCAACTGAAATTCAAAACAGAAAGCAAAACGTGCCAATTTTTCAATGGAAAAAAAGAAAGCAAAATGTTGAGCTTTTTAAAGGAAAATAATTCCAAACAAGAGTGTTTTACCCATCCTGTTGGCTCATTGTTTCCTCTTGAACTACTTGCAGAAATTACTGTTTTCACTGCCTGGATTTTCTATTTTTCTGGGTTTCAAAGAATAATTAGTACATTGATTTTTGAGTACTAGTTATAGTTAGATTTTTAATTGTCTACTCTAAATCGTGGTATTTGTGGATCTTTACAGTTCACTTTTTTAAACAACTCCCCCCGCTCCCCGAACCTTTTGAGAGAGAAGTCTCTTGGCACAGAGCTGGTGGGATAAACTTGTAAGCTTCCAGAAAACTCACTTATGTCTCTGCTAAATTTCAGTAGAAAGAATTGACAAAAAATGTGTGTTGAAGGAATATCAAGTTTTTGTTTTACCTACATGGCAGTCACCCAACCATTTAATATTTGCCAACTAATAGGATTAGGAATGCTTCCGTATAAATGTCTTGCACTTGCCAGACACGTCTGGGACCAAATCCAATTCCTGATAATTTTTGCTGTTTATTTCAGCACAACTTCTTAACCCCATTAAATGGGGGAGGGGGGTGTGAATAAACAGTGCGAGTTGTTCATTGGGAGTGTTTGATTAAATGCCACTTGGCTCGTGCAGCTCTGGGATGTCCAGGTTCAATGTAGGCTTAACGCAGTGGGTTTTGGTGGCCCATGGGAGATGGGTGGTAGGGTGGGGAGGGCTGTCGGCAGGCACCAGCCATCCCTGTAGGTGCTGGATACCTCACCGTTGCTTTAACAACCGTTAATGCTGCCAAAGCCTTGGACTGGTGAGAATAACTTGACTTCTTTACATTTTAGGTAAAGAACAGGTTACATCTTTTGTGAAATTGCATGACATGAGATGCACGGTAGTTGGACACACATACTCCAATTTTGTTTCAACTTGGTGCGTTCATAGGTGTGAAATGTTAAATGTGTGCAGTCGCACCTGGTCTAATTTAGTAAAATTCCCCAGAGTGGTTTGTGACTTGACATCACTGGCTCATCAACTGTAGGGCATTGTAGTCCTTTGAGTCTGATAGCGTGCAGCCGGTTTGTTACCCTCCCGGCTTCTGCTTGGCATTGCATCGTCTCTGCAGCTGCTGTTAGACTGGGCTGGCTCCTCCTCATCTTTTACTGAAGGAACTGGGCTCCCTTTTCAACACGGGAACCACACATCTGCCTGGCTGTATGACTTTGAACCCATGCGGATGGTTTAATTATATATATATTAGTTTTTAAATCCAGTACAAGCTTTTGGGGTTCAGTCCCGTTCAAGGAACTTCTGAGCCCTGTTTGCTCAAAAGCAGGCAGCTCTCAGCATTGGTTCGTAACTTCTCTTGGTGTTTTGAGATGCTCTCCAGAATAAACGGAGCTGATTATTCAACATCAAAAAGCCTAGTCTGACTTGAAAAAAACCACATCTTGGTATAACTATTGTCAATGAACGTGGAAAAGAAGGGCTGAGGGGAGGAGGGACAGGCTAACTAGCTCTTCACCCCATGTGCTCTTAAACATTTCTTCTTATTGTGAGGAAAGCCTGCGTCAGTGCCAGCAGCCTTCACAAATTAACCGTGTTTCTCAGCAAACTTGAAAGGGGTATGGGCCAATTATTGCATTACAAAGATGTTCGTTAACAGATGAATGGTATAAGACAGATTTTTTTTGTTTGTTTTTTATTGTTGTTGACAAAGCAGTAGCTGTATACAAAGGCGCGGAGCTACCGTACCAATTAAGACCACTTTGTGTGTATTGAAATTTTTCTTAGACCTTGCTCCCAATGGATGGCTCTCTCTTCTTGGAATTTAGGTATAGGATTTAATCACTAGCTGTTACCCTCTGGGGTAGGTTGTGCTCGGTGTTCAGATGCTCCAAGTGTTTGGTTTGCTCGTTCTGTAAGGGTGTTTCAGCGTGTTGACCAAGATGCCACCACTTTTGCTGGCTTGTTACTGTGGTGAACGCTTCGCTTTTACATTTTTAGGATAACGTTGGTTACTATGGATTCTTTTTTTGAAAATGTGGATATTGTGGTGGATGCAGTGGGGGAGATTGGGTTTGGTTTTGTCATGTTAGCTTTAGTGCTTCTACGTGGCAGGCAAATAGTCCTGTTTTAGTCGAGTCAAACACAGCAGTGGTTTGCATCAGCTGCGATCTGCATGCGGAATTTATGGTCCAAATGCAGCCCTGTTCTTCCTCTGCTCCTTACATTTTTCAGGAACTTTGAATTGACAGTGACCTTGAAAATCTGTAACTGTCTGTAAACTTCCATTGTCCCAACCCCTGTTGCCAGTCCAAGTGACAGCAGACTTTTCTTTAACATACCAGTTATTGGTTTTGTTTCCAAAGGTGCTGTTCTACAAGCACTTGCTAAAATTTAGTTTCTTGTTTGTTTTCTGCCTTGATGTGATGTAGACCTACCTTTGAGGTGAAGAATTTAGAAGTGGCACTGAAGGGTCTTTTAGTCTTTCATTGCACACACATTAAACATTAAATATCTATTTTTTTCCCCTGCAAGCATCCACTGAACTCTGTTAGTGATCATCTATTATGACTTCTGTCCGGTATCACTCATTTCCCATTTTCCCCCCAGTTGGGTGGTAGAATAATTTAACTTGAATGGTTATTATTGTGAAAACAGTACTTAATTCTTGAGTTAAATCCAAATGCATTGTTTGCAATGCTTCATTACGGTCGATAAGCTAACTGGGGATTGAAAACAGAGTAGGTTCATGCCTCTGTGACATGAGCACTACTTCACTTTGCCTGCAGAAACTTCCTATGAATATTTGTGCGTACTTAATGTACAGCTATGTACATTTAGATAAATGTTCTTTAGTGTTTTAAGAAGTGGAAAACTATGATTTGGGAACAGCAAGTTGTCAGGTTGGTGGTTCTTAGTCTTTTGAAGTGTGTGTATGATGCGTTGCTCATTTTTCTACACCCTAGTAATAGTTTACAAATTAAGCAGGTTTGACACTGTGATAGTGCAGGTGATTTCCCAAGTGCCGTGAGTGCTCAGGCATCCTGGGATGTGACGATGAGCTGTGTCGTGTAACAGTTTGTACTCTGAAGCAAAGCAGGATTTGGAACATTTGAGAGGGCTCTATTTAACCTCCAGCATGGTCCTGTGTGGGTCTAACCCCTGATGCTGGTTGAAGTCAGAGCTGTGTGAGCAGGCGCTGAATTTCAGTCTGAAATAAAAAAGACAAATTCCAGGTTCTATGGGATTAGCTTAATAATTTGCCCGATGATGGAGGAGGATAAATTCTTTTTTAGCTTTTGATATCTGGAATTGGGAATTGTTGGACAGGGGAATTAAGTTTTAAAATTAAGATCAAATGCTAATAAGATCCATTTTACTTTGGATTTCCCAATTATGAATTAGGGGTTTTTTTCCTGCTTATCAGAATGGATTTTATCAATGACATGGGAAATGATTATTTTAATATTTCTTGCCAGCACAGTATTGTAATGACTGTGTACTGCCCCAGGATGCCTTTCTAATGATTTTAGCTTCTTGAATTAGCTTGATGTACCATTAATGCGTAAGAATTGCTTTTATTTTTGTCCGTGATGTATTCATAATTGCATGTCTTTCCCCGCTTTATGTTCAGATTTTCTTTGACCTGTTTAACTCTTTGCTATGGAATTCTCTGACGTCGCAAAGGAAAAGCAAATGTTCAAATATTTAGAGGATAAACTTTTCCCATCAATGTAGCCTGCGTCACGGGGTGTGAAACAAAAGGGTTTGAAACTAATTTTATTCAGAGTTGAGACTGTTACTGTAGTCCAGCGGTTCGATTTGGTTGTTGCTAGTGATCAAATATTTACATCTTTCAGCAGAACCTCTCAATGCGGAGATCCTCTGGTTTATTTAGGGTTGGGGTGCGGTTTGAAGTACTGTGGCATGTGTCCTAAACGCGGGAGAAGGTGCAAACTC